TCTTGAATTAATGAGAAATTACACTGGACACTTGTTAAAAACAGCAGCCAGATTTTACTGTATTTCTGCTATTTCATTAAGGGAGAGAGACGAGTGTAGAACTGAGCTCAACTCCAAATACAGCAAGGACATCTGGGACTTATGCACAGAGTAAGAGGGTCAGTGGCTGGAAAATTATTAAGAGGAACTTGATTAGGTATCGAAAGTGGGGGATTCTCGCAGGATTTTTGCTAAAACTGGGCTCAGCAGGCTAAGGATTAGTTAGGAATAGGATTCAGAGGAGCTCGACTCAAGTTTGGTCAGGGAAGCGGGGTCCTTGACACCTGTCCTTGTTTCTCTTGCATGTTGTCAGCCAGGGACCACTTGCGTGATGATTTTATTGTAAACCTCTGGAGAGCAGAGAGTGAGATCAAAGACCTTCAGGTTTGGAAGGCTTTTTTCAGATGTCACTGTCTCATTTGACTTTGACGTTTAGCTGTTTCTAACCCAGAGGCAGTGGCAAATCAGAGCTGGCAGTGAAAAGTCACACCTGACGATGGTTAAAGTGTGGGTTTGGGTGTCAGACCTGGGTTTGAACTTGACTCTGCTACGTAGATGGTCATGTGACCGTGACCTTATTTCTTGTACTGTTGGTGACAGTTTATCTTGAATGGTTACTCTGCTCCAGACCTCCCAGTGGATTGAACTTCTTGAAGTCAAGCAGACTTCTTCAGTTGAATCACCTGATCTAGTGCATCCCGGTGACCTGAGAGGGCCACAGGACCAAGTGGGAACAGCAAAAGACCGGTCATTGGAGACTGGGGAAAGTCTTTCCTAAAGGCTTGTCTGTTGACCTTGCCTTTGTGTGGACTGGGTTCCCTTTGATGGAGAGCTCTTTATACAGATGGCCTGCAAGTGCCTTAGGATAGTAGGGTGCTAGAGAGCGCAATGGGTGTCCTGCTGGAGGAAACGGGAGGCCCGCTCTGTGCCTGGGCCCCAGGTGTGGTTACGGGGCCTCCCAGACGTTCGCATAAACAACTCTTGTGACAAGCGAGTTAGTGTAGTGGAAAAAGGAGCCTTTGGAGTCAGATCTGTGTCACTTACCAGCAGTGCCACTTTCCAGTAAGTTTCTATACCTCTGAGCCACAGTTTTCTCAAATGTCTGAAGGGAGTCATGAGACTGGCTCAAGGCTGTTGTGAGGCCTTTGTAAAGTGGCTCAAATATCCTGCTCCGCATAGCCACAGACATCCCACTTTCCCACCCTGTGCAACATGCCGACACGTGTCACTCTCGGGGAGGCTTTCTTCTCTACCCTGGTGAGCGCATCAGCCGTCTGTGTCATTTTCTCCCCGCACAAGGTTAGCCAACTAGACACATATTCCCTAACAGTACATCTCGGAGATCTTTCATTGAAATCTGCCTTACTCTTTTTAAAGGCTTCACAGTACCCCACTGTAAGGATGTACCATGAATTAACTAGACAGTCCCTGCAGATGACCGTTTATGTTACTTTCAGTGTTTTCCTGTTATAAACGGGCAGGCTTCTTCACCTCCTTAAGATCTTACTCTTTTGAAAATGACACCCAGCACTCCTACCAGGTCTGCCTCTCCTGCCTTGTATTTCTCCCTGGCGCTCATTACCACCTGATGACCTGTATATTTTAATGATCCGACACTAGAATGTCAACTCAGTGAAGGGTTTTGTCTACGTGGTTCCCCATTCGGTGCCTGCGGGCACCCAGTGGGTGCTCAGGCCCTGTTCGCTGGGCAGACGGTAGGTGGACTGCAAGCACAGTGATCCTCATGAGCTAGTTTAACAGGAATTGTTTACTTTTTCTTCATGAATTTTTCCCTTTGATAAAACAAGAATAATCGGCAGATGGCAGGATGTTTTCGTGACTTGGTTGAGAATATTGCTGATCAGGAAATTGCCATCCGAGGCCAGCTGCTTTGAGACGTGTTTGTCGCTGAGGGTGATGCACGATCGTCGTCCTCACGTCTCATGTTCACCCCAGGCCCTAATTCGTTTCCCCAGATAGCATCGGTATATGGGTTTTTAAGTGGGATTTTCTCATCAATGCCATACTGTGAGGCTTTTAACTTTCCATTATCGAGGACACACACTCTGTCTATAAGAAAAAAGGATAAAGGAGACCATCGCCAAACGCTAACTAGGAAAATATCCCTGTATTTATAGGGCGCTTTCTCTCATTGGGGAGTAACTCGCTAGTATAATTAATAGAAGAGTGAAAGATAAACTTGAATATCTAAAACTAACCTGGCAGTACTTTTCCAGTGCCTGTTGTGTTGTTTGCTAATTTAGGCAGTTTAGCTGCTGGTGTTGAGTCTATTGTTCATAGTCAGGCCAACCGTTTGGTTCTAGTATTTTATGTATTCTTTTTGTCCCTACGTATGAAAGGTAGAAGTCACACACCACTGCCTCCGGAGGAATAGGTCTTCAGGATTAAGTCGCGTGAACCAAACCCAGAAGAGACTGGTGTGCAGACCAGGGAGCCTGTTTAATGATTGTTGATGACAGGTAATAAAATCCAGCCAGGCTGTACCTGTCATGTGGGCCGAGGCCACATGCTCACTCCCTAGGGAGGACCAAAGAGACCGCCTGTTTTACCGGAATTTAGCCATGTCCATTGGTTTACAGGTTGTCTCTGGCTGCTTACACAGGACAATGGGAGAGCTGAATAGTTGTGACAGAGATGGAATGACCTACAAAGCTTGAAATACTGACTGTCCAGGCCTTTCCACAAAAAGTTAGCTGACCTGGGAAGGCTTCTCAGGGAGGCTTAGTTGCAGCCAGGAGGCTATGGGGCGAGCTGAGAATTGAAGAGCTACTGGGTGGGTCACCTTGGTAGCCACTGTCCCACTTCCTGTGTGGGGGCTTCTGGGGAGCTCTGGGGACAGGGGTGCTTTTGCTCCTTGGCTCTCTCTTGCCCGATCTCACTGTTGCTTCTTCTTACGTTTGTATAACTGCATCTTCTGTTGTTAACCTCCCAGCCTCACGGGGAGCCCGGGCCAGGTCTGGCAGACTTGGGAGAGCTTCCCCAGGCAGATGAGAACACATCAACAGACCAGGGCAGTCCCTGTGGTAGCCAGCCGGCTGCTGTCATCTGTCTGTTCTGTTCCCTGATGTCTGTCATGCACCATACTAAAACACAAAAGCCAGACAAACCAGAAGACTTGGCCGTTTAAGGATAATCTTAAAAACAAATCTGGGACCCCTTACTGCAGTGACCCATCCATCCGTAGACCTCTAGTGGGGCTAAAGAAACCTGGATCTGGCACCAACTTAGTTTATAGATTAGGAACCGGGTTCTTGAAAGGAGCAGCGTCGGCATGCAAGCTTCTGGGCAGTGTGGACTAGAGCCGTCAGGGATCAGAAAGAGGCTCAGTTCAGTAGACCTGGGCGTCACCTGGTGCTTGTCAGAAATGCAGAATCTCAGGCCTTGCCAGGCCTACAAATCAGAATCTGCATTCTAACAAGACCCCAGGGATCTGGGTACATGGTCAAGTAGGAGAAGCACTGGCCTAAGGTGCTCCTACGTTTTTAAACTTTTAGCAGACTCAGGGTTTCCTGTTTTATCACTTATGGGGGAAAATCCACCTTTTTGAGTTTTAGCCCAGTGTTTGGCCCAGTGCCGAGGATGGTTTCTCAGGCATAGAGGTGGTTCATGCCTTAGCTGGCGGCGTGCTCCGTGAGGACAGAGGCTTCTGCCTTCCCTAGCAGTTAGCACATTGTCTGGCAGGGCGTTGTTTAGGAGGCTCTGGCTGAGTGGGTGAATGAATGAGTGAATGAATAAGGGAATGAGTGAATGAACACTGTTTTGCCAAATGGCATCAGAGGCAGAGGTCAGCCTTGCAGACTGTTCTGCTCTGTGTTCTTACACCTCGAAGACTGTTTTCCTCTTATCTCGGGGTGACAGGCCTGGCTTCTGTCACAGGAATATTATCTTTTTAGAATAACATATTCAGGACACAGGGCAGAATCTGACTCAGCCTTAGTCCCTCTGGTGCTTCAAAATTTATTGAAAGTTTTGGCAATGGAGTATAAAATTGGGAATATAGTTCATTAAGAATAATCTTGTCTACGGCCATGCCACCCTGAATGTGCCCAATCTTGTCTGATCTAGGAAGCTAAGCAGGGTCAGGCCTGGTTAGTACTTGGATGGGAGACCACCTAGGAATACCAGGTGTAAAAAAAAAGAGAGAATAGTCTTGAGATGCAGAAAGGCTGACCAGGGATTCAGAAGGCGTGGGTTCTGGTCTCTGGCCAGAGCTGACTGTCCAGACAAGTCACCATTCTTGCTTCAACTGCACCTTCTTATAATATAAAAATTAAAATACCTGCCCTGCCTGTTACACAAAATACATGTAAGTGGGTTGTAAGTGTTATTCAAAGACATTAATTTGGGCTGCCAGTGTTTGTTGCTTATCCAGATAGCTCGCTCATGAACTTATAAATTGCCCCTCAGGGTTTATAGTGAACACATATTGAATTTTGACAAGCTTTACTGTATAAATAATATACATTAATTGTAGTAAAAAGAGACAAATATGGAAAAGAAAATCATGCTTAATCGTACCTACCACCCAGCAATAACTATCGTTACATTTTTATGTCTGCCTTCTACATTTTCCTGTGCATACGTTACATGTATATTCTTTTCTTGCAAATAGTTCATAGCGTGTGGTAGAAGTTTTTCTAACACGGTGAATTTTGTTGATGAACTTTATCTGATGTAGTCTCAGTTGTGACAAAAACTTTAAAAGGTTCCCCTTGCTCCACCCAAGGAAGGGGCAGCAGGGCTAAAAATAAAATTCTGCTCTGCCGGCATTTTTATCCTCAGCATGTTCTGTCTGGTGACTAAATGGTCTTATCTTTTGACCCATTTACTGTGATGTTTTCTGAGGGACCAACAATAGTCTTCTGTTCTTGTCGTTTCTTTTTTTGCTTGACTGTGCTTTATTCTTCCCAGGTGTCTGCAGTTGAACTCCAAGGCGCAGAATGATTTGGGAAGTAGTTGTGGTCCTCAGCTTGGTCCTGGGAGCTAGTGCTGTCCCCATGGATGATCCTGAGGATGGGGGCAAGCACTGGGTGGTCATCGTCGCCGGTTCAAATGGCTGGTACAATTACAGGCACCAGGTAAGAAAACGACGAATCTTTCTCTTTATGGCACGGACATTCTGTAAACCATCCTGGACGTCGTTAATAGGACCGACTTTTTAAAAAGCCATTTACAGTCCTAGTAGGCTGGCAAAAAAATGTGTGTGTTGCTGAGGATGTGGAGAAACGGGAACCCGCATATGTTGCTGGGGGCATTATAAAGTGGTACTGCAGTCTGGCAGTTCCTCAAAATGGCTCCTATGGGGTACCTCAATCTAATGCAAAATGTTCAGCCTTAGTGCTGTTGACATTTGGGGCCAGATAATTCTTGGGGTGGAGGGGAGGTGCTGTCATGTGCATTGTAGGATTTTTAGCAGCATCCTCGACCTCTACCCACTAGAAATCGGGAGCACCACCCACCCCACTGTAACAACCAAACGTGTCTCCAGCTTTTGTCCGATGTCTCTAGTTGAGACTCCACTTTCTAGTTAAGGAAACTGAAAGTTAAGGAGAGGAAGTGACTTGCCTGTGGCCACACAGCAGTTGAGGTACAGCTGGGACCGAAGCCTGGGGCTCCGGTTAGAGCCTCACGAGACCACTTTGCTTTCCCTGCCTCCGCCCAGCTGCTCTCCCCTCGCATCGTCCTCCCCGTCTTTTCTGGCATTTCTGCCAAATCAGCCTGGCAGAATTTAGAAAAGAACCCACATCCACAAATACATTAAAAGTGCACCTTTCTGCTGGGATTTTGACATGGTGCAGCTGCTTTGGGAAACAGTCCGGCAGGTCCTCAAATGGTTAAACGTAGAGTTACCAGATCACTGCTAGGTATACACCCAAGGGAAACGAACACATGCTCACACAAAAATTCATGCTCGAATGATCATAGCAGTATTACTCATAATTGCCAAAAGGTGGACATAGTCCAGATGTCCATCAGCTGATGAGCCGATAAACAAAATGTGGTCTCTCCATACAAGGGGGTGTTACTTCGCCATAAAAAAGAATGAGCGCTGAGACAGGCTACAGCATGGATGAACCTTAAAAACGTCAGGCTACATAAAAGGGTCAGGCGCGTGCGGCAAGTGGCCTGGATCCAAATACGGGCCACTAGGCTCTGGAGCAGCACCGTTCGAGAGGACCGACACATGTGTCATGGTACATTTTCTAGCAGCCACATTTTTAAAAAGTAAAAAACGTAGGTGAAATTAGTATCCATTTTATTTTACCCACAATATCCAAACTGTTACCATTTCACTTGTAATCAGTATTAAAAGTTGGTAATAAGATCCCTTACGTTCTGCTTTTGGTACTAAGTCGTTGAAACCCAGTGTGTGTTTGCATTCACGGTGCCTTCGGCCCAGACTGGCCACGTTTGACGTGCTCACCGCCGTGTGTGGTCAGCGGCTGCCGTATTGGACAGCGCGGGCCTGGAGTCTGTGTTCCCGACGTTCTGGCTGTGCCTCCTCACCCACGTGTCCCTCCCAGGGTGTCGGTTTTCCTATCTGTTAAGTAAGGGGGGTCGATTGAGATGCACACCTGCTAGCTCGAAACTTGACGATGATTGCATGAGTTATTTCTTGAATGGTTTTTGTATGCTAGCTGAATAGGAAGTTCGGCTCGATTACAAAGTTGTTGTCATGGGGAAATGACCCGTTTTCCTTTGAATACTTAACCACCGACCTGACCCCTGTCCACAGGAGCAACGCGAGCAGGTGGGTGCTCAGCCTCGGCCTTTTCCTCCCTCTCTAACCACGAGTTAGAAAGATGAGGGATTCAGTACAGGTCACCAGTAGTCAACAGACTGATTCAGCAGCCACCCTGGTTTTTATACAACCAACTTTTAAATATAGTGGTTAAACATTATTAAATACCGGTATCCAATTGCTCTTTGCACCCAGAAAACGCACTTCTTTTTCCTGAAGTGTTGCTAGTTCCCCTGAGGGTAAAGTGCTTAATACCAAAATAGAATAAAGGGAAACAAGGCAAAAGAAACGCCACAGACTGACATATTTGTCTTTAAATAAGAGAGGGTGACAGTGCGGAGGCCATGCCCAGAGGAAACACATGTGCTGAGTCATCGCTGACCTCAGCCTGTATCCCTGCTGGCTTGGTTCTGTTCCAGCCAGCTGCCAACATTTGCTTTATTGATTTTGGAGGCTAATCATTGAAAGAGCATTTGAAAGGACTTTGCCTCTAGAACCTATGCAGACTTTAAACTTACTTTTTTGTACAGGCTTACATTTTCCATGGACTCACACAGCACTCATGATCACAAATTTCTTTTGTTTAGGGAAGATCAATATGCTAGGCAGGATTAATCATTGCTAAGTGCTTTTCTATGCATTGTGCTGGTTATTTAAATGCCGTTTCATCTTGACGGAATTTGGTTTCTCAGTGTTCCATTTCGGGCTGGAATTCATGGGTGACAGAGAGGGGCTTGGTCTGAGGCGACGCTGGTGGGACATTCTGTGTCCAGTGGCCTGAGTGTGGGGCTGGTAAGGCCTGGTGAGGGTGGATTCCTGTGATGGTGGCGTGGAAGCCAGACCGGGGTGAGTGGAGGAAAGAGGGAGGGGTCCCGAAGGGCAGGCAGCACATGGTGACAGCTGGACAGTCTGTCTCCCAATGGGCTTGTGAAGGGAAAGGGAAGTAAGTCACCAGGGGAGGAGTGGGGCTGGAGGGGGGTCTCTTTCGGGATGGAGAGATTTGCGCACGTGGAGAAGGAAGACCTGGGTTGGGCAGTGGGAATGGTCGTTGAAGTAGATCGAAGGTGAAGTTCACTGTCTCACAGGCCATCAGGACTTGGGAGGATGACAGGAGTTGGGAGGAGAGGCAGGTGTGAGCCAGGTGTTACTAGGGGTGGGGGGAGGGGTTCGGGTTGCTTGCTAGGCAGTGGCGCTCTAAAGGGGACAGTCATTCGGTGTGTTGTCAGGAGGGCAGGGGTGGTTGGCGGGCGGCAGGAGGGGTGAGGAGCTGTGAGAATGCTGACCCCGCTGTCCTCCGCTGGCCTGGCACTCGGGGTGGTAGTGGGGAGAAGTGGGGCTGCCACCTCCTCTTGGGAAGGCTTTAAGAGCATCTGTGTCCTGGGTGCCTGGAGGAGGCGGGTAGGCAGGTTTCAGCGGAGGCAGAGGGAGAGAAGCCTAGAACTGGCACACGAGGGAGTTGGAAGGAAGAGATGCAATGATGGAGGGTCAGGTGTCAGGGTCATCAGGTTTCTGAAAGGCCATCTTTCGTTTTACGTATTTTAAAAATGTGCAATTACCACTTTTTAAAAACAGCTTTATCGAGGCATAAGTTTACATGTTGTACAATCCACCTATTATAATTATATAGTTAAGCGATTTTTAGTAAATTCATACAGTGGTGCAGACATCACCACAGTCCAGTTTTAGGATACTTCCATCATTCTAGAGAGTTCCTTCATGCCTGTTGCAGTCAGTCCCTGCTCTTGTCCTAGCACCGTTCAGCCTTGGATCTGCTTCCTGTCTCTATTGTTTTGCCTTCTCTAGAAACGTGATATAAACAGAATCATATAACATCTCTTTTGTGTCTGGCTTCTTCACTTTGCATGTTTTGAGGTTAATCCACGTTGTTGCAAAGTATCACTTATATTAAAAAGAAAAGAACACACTTTTAAAGAGGGCATGGTGGGAAGGGATTAGGACAGAGGGAGGGCAGAGGGGGCCTGAGTTGGGGATGCAGTTAGAGGGCTGGCCTTGTACTGGCCAGAGGCAGCGCAGGGTCAGGAAAGAATGTGGGCTTCGGACTTGCACAGACCTCAGGTGTCATGCCTGCTCTCCACTTCCTTGCTGTATTAGTTTGGACGGATTACGTAATCTCACTCTACACCTCTCATTCCCTCTGGAAGATGCGAGGTTGGTGGGGGCACTCAGTGAGGTCCCCCTATAAAAGCCGCTGAGCCTGGGCCTCACCTTGGCAGCACTCAGAGCACGTGTCAGGAGGAGATACTATGCACCTGTCAGGGGAACAGACCGTGAGAGAGCACTCAGAGCACGTGTCAGGAGGAGATACTATGCGCCCACCTGTCAGGTGAACAGACCATGAGAACCCCCTCTCAGCTCCTTCCTGGCTCGAAAGTGGACCCCCTCACAGTGACCGAGACCGGAGCGTGCCGTTTCCCCTGGCCTTCGTTCCAAGCCGATTGTTCTCATTTCGCTGACGGTTGGCCTGAGATGGAGGTGGCAGGAACTGCCTCGTCAGGAAAGCCGCCTGCAGCAGGAAATCACGGGATGCGTCAGTAAGGCTGTCAGAACTCCTGACAGAAGCGACGAAACAAGTTGAGCCACAGCAGTCTCTGTTGGGGTGTCCCGAGGGTAAAGTCTTGCTCAATACCCTCCTCTCAAATGTTACTGCGTATGGCTTTCCTGTTGTTAAGGGGAAAAATGCGTTGAGGTCAGGTATGTTCAAGGGAAGTGATCCAAGTCGCCTTCAGCACCATTTCCAAATGATGTGACTTGGCTTAACCCTCCTTTTATTTGTTTCGAGTGCCAGTAAACACTCGACTCTGACAAAGAACCCTCGTGAGTTAACGAGGTTAAGGCAGCGAAGTGCTTCCAAGGACCTCGGAGAGAAGCGCGACGTGACTTTGAGACCGCCATTTGCGCAGGAGGGCGCGAGGCTTGGAGTGGAGCGCCGGGCCCTGTCCGAGCTCGTCCCCACCTGCGAGAGTGGGGAGAAGAGCACCTTTGCGTCAAGGTGGTGGCGAGGAGGCCAAACAGTGCGGGGCAGCGCCCACCCGGGGCGTGCCGAACCTGCCCGCTCCCAAATACATAGCTTAATCGAAGCTTATTCTGCATATCGCATGTCATGCACCTGTTTCGAGTGTACAGCTCCATGGTTTTTTAGTAACTTGTGCAGACATCGCCATAAATCAGTTTCGAACGTTTCCTTTGGGCCCAGCCCCAGGCCCAGGCCACCACCAGTGCGCTTCCTGTCCCTCTACAAGAGCCGCTTCTGAGCATTTCACATAAACGGAGGCATATGGTACGTGGGTCTTTTGTGCTTGGCTTCTGTTAGCATCATGTGTTTGAGGTTTATCTGGGACATAGCATGTGTCGGACTCTATCCCTTTTTATTGCCAAAGAGTATGAAATCGTATGGATGGGCTACATTTTGTTGGTCTGTTTACCAGTGGGCGGACATTCGAGTTGTTTCCATTTTTTGCCTGTTATGAACAGTGCTGCTAAGAACACTTATGTGCAAGTCTTTGTGTGGATAAAATCTTTTTTTCTCACAGGCAGATACATAAGGGTGGAATTGCTGGGTCTTATGGTAAATTTTATGTTTAACTTCTCGAAAACTGTTAAATTGTTTTCGAAAGTGGCTGCACCATTTTGCATCCCCTCAAACCGTGATCGGAAGTCCCCGTTCCTCCACGTTCTCACCAGCACCTATTATTGTCCGTCTGGCTGCGAAGTGGTATCTCTTTGTGGTTTTAACTTATATTTCACTAATAACTAATTTTACTGAGGATCTTTTTATGTGCTTATTAGTTATTCATATGTCTTCTTAAGTGAAATGTTTATTCAAATCTTTTATCTATTTTTGATTGGGTTGATTGTCTTATTAAGAGTTTTTCGCATATTCTGGATACAAGTCCTACATCAGATATGTGTTTTGCATATATTTTCCCTTACCCTGTTGCTTGTCTTTTCATTTTCTTAATGGTAGGTTTGAAGTACTAAAGTTTTTAATTTTGATTATGTCCAATTTATCAAAATTTTTTTCTTTTATAGACCATGTTTTGGGTGTCACCTATAACATCTTTGTAGTTATAACTCAAGGTCCAAAAGATTTTCTTCTAAGTTATCATGCACAAGTTTTGTTTTAGCCCTCACATTTAAGTCTGTGACCCATTTTGAGTTAACCTTTGTGTATGGTGTGAAGTGAGGGCTTATGTTCATCTTTTTTTGCATGTAGATATCCAGATTTTCCCAGCACCATTTGTTGAAATTCTTTTCTTTCCCCTGAGTAGTTTTGAAATAGGGAAGTAAAAGTCCTCTAACTTTTTCTTCTTTTTCAGTTTTTTTTTTTTTTTTGGCTGTTCTAGGTCTTTAGTGATTTCATTAAAATTTTAGGATCATGTTGTCAATTTTTGCAAAAAAAAAAAAACCCACCTGATTTTTAAAAAATAATTTAATAGTATTGTCTTCTGATCCACGAATTCGAGATGTCTCTCTGTTTACTTAGCTCTTTTTAAATTTCTCTTAGCAATATTTTATAATTTTCAGTGTGTAAGTGTTGTGCTTCTTTTGTTAGATTTATTCCTGTTGTCTTTTTAATGAACCTGCCTTCTGACAGGACTAATAAATTATAGGATGCTTTGTCACTTAGGCTAGCAGGTGAGTGTGTTTGCTCACTTCCACTTTCATCCTAGGGATAGATTAAAGCGACAGAATACTGATTTTTACTCAAAAGCCATTGTTACCTGTAGATGCGGTGGTGGTGGCGTGCGTGCGTGCGCGCGCGCGTGTGTGTGTGTGTGTGTGTCTGTGTGTGTGTAGTCTACATCAGTGTTAATCGCCTGATGAATAAGAGCTTGGATGCTCGGGAATGCGTGCGCGCGCGCGTGTGTGTGTGTGTGTGTGTCTGTGTGTAGTCTACATCAGTGTTAATTGCCTGATGAATAAGAACTTGGATGCTTGGGGGGAGGGTGGTTACAACTTGAGTTGAAAGAATATAAATGTATGTTTTAAAATAAGTTGAAGACCTGACCGAAGCTTCACAGCACGCTGTCCACAAGAAAGAACCTGTTGCTCCTTCTGGGCATCGTCTTAACACTTGGCGAAATCATTTCTCCCAGGCAGACGCGTGCCACGCCTACCAGATAGTTCACCGCAACGGGATCCCTGATGAGCAGATCGTGGTGATGATGTATGATGATATCGCCAACTCCGAGGAGTGAGTACAGAGCACTTTCAGCCTGGTGGCGAAGAGCTCCAGGGCATTTCTTAAAAAAATGCGTGTAGACTCACGGGAGGCCTTATCTATCAGTGGCCTGACGTTCGGGTGTGAACAGACTCGTAGATGAGCTTCCACGGGGTTGCTTCTTGTAGAGCCTTGGACATAACTCGGACACCTGGCAGTGGCAGAGGCACGGGCATTGGGCGCTGGTGGGTGTTTTGGGCTGGTGCTTCGGAAGGGTTGAAAGCATGAGTTCCTCTCAGCTTGGAGAATCATCATGGAGTTCTACGGTGCTTGCTCCTGCCCCCAAACAGTGGACAGCACAGGGGGGACACCTCTGCAGCCTGTTCCAAGAAGGCTGGTTTGTAGGTTGGACCCCACCACCCTTTGAGTATCTATTTACTGTTATTATTCACCAACTTTAATTTTACAAATACTTCTCTCATGCCTGCTTATCTGATTTCTTGAGGAGATCAGAAACGGCAGCTATGGGTACCAGACTTAACCAGCGCCCGTCTCCCTGGCCCCTGGGTCACCCTGCTGTGGCCCTCTCGAAGGGTACTGCCCCGCACCGTGGTCACAGGACAGCTCATCATCCATTCCGAGCTTTAATGCCTCAGCTCTTGTATTAAAGTCTCGTCTTCTGTCCTGCATTTTTCTGCAAGCAGTTTTGCTCTGAGAGATCTCTTCGTGAGGTCTTGTCCCCAGGATGCTGTGTGGTTCCCCGCAGGAGGCCAGGCGCACCTGCCAAAGTTCCAGTCCTGGTCCTGACTGTGGGAACTCAGCCCTTCATGCACCTGCCCGCAATGTGTGGGATGCCCGCAATCCCCCAGCTACTAAAGCCGCCAGCCCTTGGTGAACGTTCGGGCAGCGAGCAATGTCTTTGACAGACATGGTCGATTATTCTTTTTATACATAACTCGCCCATTTTTGAAGAGAGATTTCAGAGATGTGTCCGACCTTGTGCTTCAGCCATGTCTTTTGGTTTTCAGCAATCCCACGCCGGGTATTGTGATCAACAGGCCCAACGGCTCGGACGTGTACACGGGAGTCCTGAAGGACTACACCGGCGAGGTGAGGTGGCGGCGGGGTCATTTTCATGCCCAGGATGACTTTCCCCTCTTTTGTGCATTTCTAGAATCAGAACCTCACCACACTGACTTCTGGTCATTGTTTCATGTTTGGATTAATATTTGTGCTCGAGGAGTAATTTCTGAGAGATCTAAAAGGAAGCAGAGGAAAATAAGAGAATAAAGTTAGAAGTTGTAGTCTGCCAATCTTGAGTTTCCAGTCTTCTTATACTTTAAACCTGATGATACATTTCTTTTGCTAATAAATTTCTTTTGGTACATTCCACTACCCGATTTTCATGAGGTAATGCTGTGTATCGGATTCTAGAATATCTGGGCTCTTTTTTTCTCAGCACAAGCCCTGTGCCAAGCATCTCTGGATTTTGCCCAGATGGTTTTTCATTAATTATTATTATCGTATATCGCTACTAAATTATTATATCCCTCCCAGTGGATTGAGGCTATATAAATTGACACATTTTTAAAAACACCGTAATGACTTCAGCCTCTTAGTTTTCATAGTCTCTTTTTCTTTAATATCAGAAGGATCTTTTTTTTTTTTTAACATTTTATTTTTTTATTTTCCCTCTCTCCCTCCCCCGTTTCTTCTGGTAACCACTAGTCAGAGGGTTCTTTTAAGAATTAATATTCTTGGTGATAAATGTTTTATCTGAAGTTAGCAATTCTTTCAGTTTCAGTTTTCTCTTTTAAATTCAAGTACAGTTAAATCGAACACATCGTACATGTGACATGGATGCAATATACAATCGTTTCTATATAGTTATATAAGGAAATGTCTGGAATCTAAGTGGTAGGATTTTGGGTGATTTTTTTTCTTTTCTGCTTTTTTGTATTGCCTTTTTTAATGATCGGGTATCAATTTACAAAATCACCTTTAAGGACATAGGATGTCCTTGGGACTTGGCCTTGTAGGCAGGAAGCTGGATGCAGAGGGGAGGGACCCAGCACTGACGTTTGCCCCTCTTTGCTGTACCCTTGAGGCGATATACTCTTTCTCTGCTGCTTGTTCCCACCGACCAGCATCTTTGGGTTTCTGTACCTGGACTTTGTGATGGTCAGGAAGGAATGGCAGCCTCTCTGAGTTGCCATCAGCCCAGGACAATGTGATATTTGAGAAGAGGTCTTGCACGTGCCCCAGAAACATTGAGCTTGATTTGAGTCCTTCTTGGTTTTAAAGTGCTTGCTGTTAAGCCTTGGAGGTTTCTGGTCTGGTGGCCTGGGCCTGCTACAGGCTCCGCAAATGCTCTGATTTGAAATGACAGCTGTATCTGATTTCACCTCCCAATTCTTTGTAGGACGTCACCCCACAAAATTTTCTTGCTGTGTTGAGAGGTGATGAAGAAGCAGTGAAAGGCAAAGGATCTGGAAAGGTCTTGAAGAGGTAATGGGTGCTTTATGGCCATCACATGTTTCTGTATGACCTGGCACCCCAGCATGGAGAATTTAAACAAGCATCGTTCTTGGCTTCTGGGCTGTTTACCCATGAAACATGGCTGACTGAGGAGCTCTGTCCTGACTTGATTCAGGCCACATGGGGTTGAAGGCTTCATTTGGCAGCCCATTTCTGTACTGAATTAACCCTATGATCCAGGGGTCCCTCATTGTTCTTAATGAAAGGTTCCCCATCACTTAAAGCCACTGCTTTTTGTCGTGTCCGTGGATCCTGGTGCTGGTACATTCCACTACCCGTGGAACACATTGAGACAGGCAAGAAGCCCTCTGGCTGGTCAGGTTGCAGGGCCCTGGCTGGCCACCAGCCCTGTGCTCTGATCAGCGCAGTGGGGAGGGGCACATTCATAAGTGCAGAGCTTAACCTTCATTTCGGGAAGAACTAACCCCAGTGCTTGCCTCACCAGCTGTGGGTTGGAGATGTCTCATTCAGCATCACTTTATGTAGCATTTTTACCTGTGCTAGGGTCTTTAATAGCAGACCTTCAGAGAATCTCAGGTACTTGGCAAATGGTGCTGTTTCTCTCGAGCTAGAGGGGAGACAAGTAAGTTCGTGTGAGTTAGAGCAGAGATGGGCATCCGTGTGGGATGCACCAGACTGGTTCCAAGTGAGTTATCACATCTCTGCAGCCTTGTGCCCTCTGAGTGGAAGCCCTGGTGAGGGTGGGCAGGGCAGGTGGGCATCCCGGGTTGTGCAGGCTGAGGGTCCTGGAGTGGGAGTCGGAGCTGCTGCAAGGCCCTGCTCGGCTGTGTGTCCTGGCTCCCTTCCTCATTTAGGGGAGATCTACTTGGAGAGTGTGGCTGGCTGAGACAAGGCCTTGTCACCCAAGGACGCCAGTCTCCAAATCGTACCTGGTCTGTCTGACCAGCTCCCCAGCAAAGGCCTCTCCTCCTCCTTGGCCATAATCCAGAGCTCCGAGGCCCTAGGATCTGCCTTGTGACTCAGTCACACTCAGCGGGAGCAGAAGGAACAGCCCCTCGTGTTCCCCTTCGTACCTGATTGGGAGACTGTAATCCTTAACCATCTTCTTAGTTTTCTGAGAAAGGCAACTTTTCAGAGACACGGAAGGAGAAATAGAAACAGGAAACGGTTGACTTTGACTCTCGTCTGTCCTTCTGTCTTGGCAGCGGCCCCCAGGATCACGTGTTCATTTATTTCACCGATCATGGAGCTACTGGACTGCTGGCTTTCCCTAATGATGACGTGAGTTGGTTTTTGTTTTTTTGTTTTTGTTTTTAAATTATAAAGACAAACTAGGAGAATGGAAAACAAAACCTCAGTGGGGACGTCGAATCTGCGACGTGGGTTTCTAATGTCCTACGAGGTGGGATGTGTGGCACGTGAGTGTCCTGCGGGACACA